GAAAGGCGACTAGGAAGGACATGTGACTAGCAGACATGGGTTCAGCGGGGAGAGCTGTGTGGCCCATCCCAGGAACACAGTGAAGGCCAAGGTGATTGGGCACAGAGTGATGGGAGCAGGAAGAAGCAACTGGAGAGGCTTGTGGGGGGCGGCCAGGTGTCACAGGGCCTTGTGGCTGTGAGGAGGCTCTGGACTTTACCTTGAGAACAATGGCAAGTCAGCGAGAGGACTTGCTTTTTACAGCACTGTTCTAGCACCAATGAAGAAAAGTTAGAAAGGCTAAGAATGGATGTAGAAGGATGGTGGCTACGGAACTGGGCAGGAAAATGCATTCAGGAGATTGTAAGAGGGAAAAAGAATGGTGCGTAGTGACAGGCTGGATAAGGGACCAAGCACGAAGGACTGTGCAGCTGTATCTTTTCCCTAGACAGAAAGTGCTAGAGGACCTGACAGTTATTGCTGTTGTCTTTTGGGGCGGGGAAGGATTCAGGAGATTTTTCTTACATAGTGAAGTTAAGGTACCCAAGTGGAAATGTCACGTGGGTGGTTAGCTGATCATTTTGGAGTTGTAAAAAGTGTTTGTGCTGGAGAGATGAACTTGACAGTCCCTTGTCCTAAATGGTAATTCACGTAGAGGACTTTGTCTAGAGCAGTGGATCTCTATGTGTGCAGTTTCAGATCACCTGGCAGCTTGTTAGAAATGCAAGTTCTCAGGCTCTGCCTTAGACCTATTGAGTCAGAACCTTGAGGTGGGCCTAGCAGTTCAGGTTTTCAGGAACCAACCAGGTGATGCTGAGGCAGAGTGAGGTTTGAGAACCCCTGGTCTAGGGAGAATATGGTGTGAGAAGAATTTGGGTCTGATGTTGCACCTTGCACAGGTCCAAGTTTTAGACACTGAGAGCTGAAGGATAACTTTGCAAAGGAGACTGGGAAGTAGAGTTTTGAGAAGTAGAAGGAAAGTGCAGGGAGCAAGAGAAGAGAGTATTCAAAAGGAGGCATTACGTGTTAAGTAAGACGATGCTTGCAGAATGTTCCCTGGACTTAGCATAAGTACATCCGGAGACAGAAAATAGATTAGTGGTTGCCCCGGGGACTGGGGAGGGGATGGGAGTGACTGCAAATGAATACATTGAGTTTCTTTTTGGGGTGGTGATAAAAAATGCTTTGGAATTAGTGGTGATGGGATCACACAACATCGTGAGTGCACTGAAAAGCACCACATTGTACATTTGCTGTACAGAAAGGAGTTAAAGAGGAAGATGAACCTTGATTCCAGAGGACCAACGAGAAGGAGGGGGCCGAAGGCAACTGTGAAAAAGAAAGTTTCAGATGACTTGTTCCGTTTACAAGATGGTAGAGACCTGGAAATGTTTAAATTCTGTTGGGAATGATGAAGAGGGAGAAATGGGAAGTAAATGATAATTAGTGATGCTTAATAATGATAGCATTTCAGAGCAGGAAGCGATGTTTGAGATTAATAGCGCCTAGTGCTTTTCTAATCCCTGAAATCTGTTTTATTTTATATGACAAATGGAAAAAAACCCACACCTGAGATCTTCCAACTCAAGTTTGCACATGGTGTGGGCAGGTGTCTGGATGACTTCCAGGTCCAGCCATTCTATTTTCCAAGTAGTTCTAATTGTTCTGAGGGGTGGAGGATAATCGACAGGGAAGGCTGATTTATGGAACAGGAAGCAATGTTGCTTTTTCTGAGTAAAATCTCAACCTCTTTCAAAGGCTTTTGGATCTTATGTAGGTTATTGCCTTTATTCTACTTTCAGAAGGAAAATTAGCGGCTATTAATTGTGTGGGTTCTCTGATTCTTCCCTTGCCTGCTTAATATTTAGTTTTTTTGCTCTTCCAGTTTATTTACCTCTCATCCATCTGATTTTCAGCTTTCAAAATTCATTGCATTTTTTTGTTCTCCCTTTTTATTCTCCCTGTCCATGTTGGAGTCCATCGTGAAGGAGTGAAAGAGTTAATGCGGGATGGGTAGATGCATGGGTCTAATCTTCCGCTCTACTGTTCTATATTCACTCCTTCCAGAGAACATGTAACATTTTTCCCCTTCACTGTTATGTTACTCTTCTGTGACTTTGAAGGACCCAGATGCTACTGATAAGTCACTTCCCTCTTGCCCAGAATGGGGCAGGTTTTGGGACCCTGTTGTCATTATGTGACTGTTAGGAAGATTCAGTGTTCCCATGCATCTAGCACAGTTGGTGCGCAAAACTTACCATCTCCTTTCCCCAAATGGAGGGGACCAGTCAGTTTTGTTACATCCCTTGTATTTCATGTTGTTGACTTCTGTCTGTCCAGCCTGAGACAACTGCTGTGTATCCTTGCTCTGTCAGATGGCACGTTAGCCCTCCCACCAGCTTTGTAGGTGTGTGGGTTTGATCCCTGAGTCACCAGGTTCTCTTTTTAGTCATTGGTAGCAGTTATGGCTGTGGCGTAGGACAGGAGATGCTATGACAGTCTCACCATGTTTTGCAGACATTCAGAAAGACTGCGTCTGCAGTAACTCATTTTTGTAAAATTACTTAGCTCAGCATAGGAATTGAGATATATTTGAGGTATAAGGAACACCTCCAATTCTCATAATTATTTTTAAAAAATTCTTTTTTAAATACAAAGAAGAGGTTTTTTTTTTCTTTCTCTTTTTTTAAAAAAGTGAAACTAGTAGTTTTTAATCTAGGTCTGCGAAGAGAATTCAGTCAGTGAATTTGGAGGAGAAAAAATGGTATCTTTAGTTTCTCTAAGCTTACAGCTTGTAGGATCATATTCAATTATAAATGTTGGAAATAAGCTGTTGTAGATTAGCAATATATGTGACATTGTCATAACAGAAATCACAGACTTTTTTTTTTTTTTTTTTCAAAGTACATTACATCCATGTTTGTGAAGTTAGAATGAAACTCACCAAGGCTGGGTAGGGTGGATGGGGTAAAAAAGAGTAATAAAGGGGTTAATCTCATTAAAATACAAGATATTCACAGATGAAATACCAATCACAGACATTTTAATGTCTCGTTACTGTGGTTATTGTCTTAAAATATTATTTACACTCATTCCTTCTTTAGAATTGCAGTAGTTATCAGATCTGTCACTAGATCTTGGGGACTTTTTTGGGGGTGGCTGGGGAATCAAACCCAGGGTTTTGTGCATATCAGGCCCTAAACCATACCCCTAACCTCTGTTATATATTAATTTTGAAAGCTCATATTGGAGTATTATAAATTGTATTTTTATATTTTGATAACTTCATTTATTTAATTTAATTGGCTGCTGTTAATCCTATGTGTTTTAGTTTATGCACTTAAGTTCATTATAGAGAGAAAATGGGTCCCTCAGCTTCATCACATCATGGTCAGTGACACAAAGACTTTAAACTCTTACCCTAAAGAGGCAGGGCTCTGCTCATGTTTATATGAGCTCGTGTTTTATCTCCAGCTGCTCCTTTCTCAGCTGTTGTTCTTAAAATTTGCTTCTAAACATATAGTTTACCTCTTTCTGAGGTAGTTGAAGGGGGGCCATTTTGTTTTCACTGGCTTATGAGTTCAGATGGTATTTAAAATATGACAACACAACAAGACTACTCCTCTTGCAATCAGACTTCCTGTTTACATAGGGTAGCTCTGAAGTTTCAGGCTTTAAGAAACAAGATTTTGCTGAGCTGCTGGGCTCACTCACTGCTTTTACGTTAGGTTCCCAGGATGCTGGGACTCCCTGATGATAAACTCAAACCTTAATTCATGGCTTGGTGGCCACAGGTTCAGGTTCCCTGGGCGGTTGGTGATGTAGAACTTCATTTTAGGTTAACTGGTGGAAGACTCCCTTGGAATGTCTTTTGGCACCTTCCCAGGACGCCGCCCTTGGTCAGTCTTGTTGGAGCATTTGACTTGGTCAGGGTGGGCAGGCGCCTGGCAGGCCTGTGTCCTGGGTCGGGAATGGGGCCTGGCAGAGGGACTGGTTGACTGGAGGAACACTGCTAGTGTTAGAGCCCAGTGCCAGCTCCTGCCTCAGTGGCCTCAGCTCGGTACTTGGGTATTACATTGTCTGCTAAGTTGCTCTAAAAACTTGAAGTTGGAGCAGTGGATTCCCACTCTTTTCCTTTTTGTTTATGTTGTTTTATGTTTTCTCTCTTTATTTTTGGTTTCCACTCTTTTTGAGAACACTTCATGGTGCATTAAGAGTGCTTGTGGATCCCAGTGCTCTGGAAGATTGTTATTTGTGACTGTATTTTGCTCAGAGTTCTTCCTTCCTTCCTTCCTTCCTTCCTTCCTTCCTTCCTTCCTTCCTCCCTCCCTCTCTCCCTCCCTCCCTCCCTTCCTTCCCCACTCCCCCTTCCCCCCCCTTCCATGAAAACAACTGGTAAGTTTATTTATTTATTATTTTTGGAAGCACTGGGGTTTGAACTCAGGGCTTTGTGCTTGCTGGGCAGGTGCTCTACCACTTGAGCCAGGCCTCCAGGCCTCTGGCACTTTCTATTCTTGTAGTTAGCCATGTTCCTGACAGCTACATATCCGCTGCGGGGATACCAATAGTAATGGGGAAGGTTTTCCCTTAATGCAGGAGTCCAATACACTGTCAGAAGTGTAGTCAGAATGCTTACGTGCTTCCTCCGTGCCAGGCCCTTTGTGGAAGACTTCGTAGACAGCCCTGTGAATCTTAGTAAATTCATTTCACAGATGAAGAATCCAAGACTCACAGAGGTAGAGTAACCCGCTCAAGTTCATGTCTGGTGTGTTGCAGAGAGGAATTTGAGCCAAGGCCCTCTGATCCTGCAGCTCAGGCCCTTGAACCTGCTTTCGTGTTCATTCTGCCCACGGGATGGAGTGATTTCAGAACTTCAGTTGTGCTGCAGTAGTGAGCCAGGAGGCTCTGTGTGTCACTTACGTTTACCATGTCGGCCACTGGGAAGCAAGCACGCGTGGAGCATTTACTGTTTGACAATTCTGCATGCAAGGTTTTAACGCTCAGTGTATTTATGTTTGTAGGGATGCTTCCTTTGGAAATTGCTCTTACAATCTCACCATTCTCGACTGTTTACAGGGACTCAGAAAGGTAATGACAATTCTTCTTGCTATAGTTGGTGCAGTAGTTGGAAAAGGAATAATCTCAACATCCTCGTTTGCTGTCAGAGAGAAGAAAGGGAGCTGGAATAGAATTCTGCTTCGTGAATGTAGATTGATTTGTAGAATCAGTTTCCCTGGGGGTCTTCACTCATGGGATCAACCAACCTCAGACTGAAGACACTTGGAAAACAAAACAAACCCCTGCTCCTTATCATTATTCCGTAAACAGTACAGTATAAAGCTATTTATGTCACATTTACACTACATTAGGTATTATAAATATTCCAGTGATGACCCAGAGTGTACAGGAGGATGTGTGCAGAGTAGATGCAAATACCATACCACTCACTATACAGGACGTGAGTTCTGCAGATTTTGGTGTCTGTGGAAGGTCCTGGAATCAATCCTCAGGGATACAGAGAGTGAGAGTGTAGACAAGAGAGCAAAATGGGGTGAGGAAGTGGAGGAGGCCCCCCCTTCTCACTTCAACCCCTTATGTCCTGGGGCGAATTTATCACATCTGTCTGCCCCTGTGCTTGTCACATCGTTTTGTCAGTCATTTAGCTTCATTATCAAGCTGGATCTTGGTGTGGGGGAAGTTATCTAAGCTACTGTTAGTTGGTCCCACTCCAGACTGACTGAATCATAAATTCCTGGGGTGTGTTTGGAGCAATCTGTCCAGGTGATGTGTCACACTGTGACAGGTGTAGTTATTTAGTCACAATGTATAATGTAGAGGTTAAACTCAAAGGTTTTGGGAACACATTTAATTTGTAATCTGACAAGTCATGCAAGCTGTACTATGAATTTTAGCGAGGGACCAAAGTTCACAGTTCCACTTTTAACCTAAAGCTATGATCTGTTATTGATCAGAAATGTATGCATTGCACAACTTTTGGATTATAAACACAGCATCAGCAATGCTAGCTCAAATTTCTTTTCTCTGATGTTTAATATAAAACTAGTTTTGCTATGTTTTGAGACTATCAGTGTGATAATTATCCTACCTGATTTATGTGTGTCTGTTTCTGACTTTGATATTTCATTGAAAAACTATTTTAAACCCTCTAAAACCTTAAAATAGTTTTCAAGTATTTTTCTTTAAAAAAAAAATTGTGGGGATAGTAGCCCACCCCTGTAAACAAGATTACCAAAATGCACTTCCTGTAATACTAGTAAAGAGCTTCTATGGAGCGGTTACCCAACAGATAATCCCTAATTACAGTATTTAGGTGATATGCCCAAGGGGAAAAAGTAATTTATTTATTGTCACTATTATTATTATTGTCTTGCCTTTCCTTCCACGTGGGGTAGGCTGTTCTTTTACAACACTTGTGAAACAGAAAAAGTTCCCACTGGAATATTCCTGCCCAGTGTTTTGGTAACTGTTATCTTGGTTTAGAAATTTATGACATCCTTCCTGGTGAACAGGAAAGGCATGACTACTTATGAATAACGTCTTTTCTAAACTTATTGTTTCGTCAGATGTTGGGGTTTACTGAAATGCAGATGGGATTTTAGGGGATCTGATAGATCACTGCACGTGTCTTTCGGCAGCCGGGACACATTGGCCCAGGTACACTCCTCACAAAAGGGGTCATGTCCTAGGCTATTTTTCTGTGCATGAGTACACCTGTGAGAACACATACAGAGCACGTGCTCATTTTTGCCTTTTAAGGGAAGATATTTTTCTGAGTTTGATGTATTGACATAAGCATAGTTCACGTTACGTGAACCACAGACATACACGAACACACCACTTAAAGAGAAAGAGAAAGGAAAAAAAATAAAGAGAAGGGAAGGAAAGGGGACTGTTGTGAGTATATTTTTCTCACTGTTTCCTCTGGAATGGTGTGTGTGGATGAGCTAAGTTGCTTTTCCAAAGCGAAATAATTTAAATAGCGTGTTCCTCTTGTTCTGTAGGAGTTATCCAAATCAGTGTTACCAGGATTTAGCATTTATGAGAATCAGCTAGAGAAGCAAGGTGCTTAAAATGCTGACCTTGGCCCCATGACCAGAGAATGTCACTTTTAGTTCTGGGGTGGAGGCAGGAAGCTCTTCAAATGTAAGTTACCTCTCGTGTTTCTGATGCAGGTGGTCCAGGTTCTTACTTTGAAAAACCCCACTGGTCTCTAAGGTGTTTTTGAAGATAGTGGGTTTGGCCTCCTACTTTCTTTTTCTATTTTTAAAGATGTGATCATGAAACTTACAGGTTTTAAATTCTATTGTCCTCTGCATAGCTGCACAGTTTATAAAGTAAAAGGCTCTTTGTCTTCCTGGGAATATTAGATCCGACCAAGCTGGATAATTTTTTTAAAGCTTTAAGTCATTACTTGCAAAAAGGAGTGTGAAGTTTTTCTTTCTGTTGCTCAAAATACCAGATCTTCCTTCTAAATTATGAGTAGAGAAATACACTTTTGTTCTGTCAGATACTTTCACTGTGGAACAAATTCTCTCAGAGTACACTTTTACAAATTAAGGCCTCCGAAGTAAAAATCACTTCCTTTTTTTTTTTTTTTGCTAAATATCTCATTATGATAAAAGGAAAACAAAACTTTCTAAGAATAACTGATTTTCTTCTGAGAAGTTAATCAGTGTATGTTCTGCCATAGGGCTACTTCCCAATAACTTTTAACTCTCAGTTTGCCAAAATCTTCCATTTTAAGTGCATTATTAATTTTACATACAAAACTAATGTAAGTTAAAATCCCAGAAGCATCTTTGGGGAACATATTTCCATATTACCCCAAGTTTAGTCCCACTTCTAAAACAGCATTGAAGCAGAATGCCACCATTGGATGACTTCTAGAGATATACTAAAAATCATAAGTCATTTTGAAATTAGGAATTTTAGAACTGGTGAATGGATTTTGTCAACTTAGTGTGGAAGAACTAATGGAAATTCTGCTTTTAGGGATTGCAGCATGGATTTTTTGACTTTGAGACATTTGACGTGGACGAGTATGAGCATTACGAGGTTTGTACGTTGATGACATTCATTAATGATGTGTTTTTTTTCCGTAACACTCGGGAGTTACATTTGAGTGGCTGACAAATAAAAGCATTCATGGGTTGTGTTTCTTTAAATGTCAGTTTTGTCTTGAAAAACTGAATGATTTGGTTGTCTTTGAACTAGAAGTCACCAAAATTTTAATTTGGAAAAAAATGCCATAGTTCTATATATTCTCTTATCAAACTTATTGACAGTCATTTTGCACCTTTAGTTTTTAAGAAAAAGTAATTCTGAAGTACAATTTATAAGTTACTTTTATTTTATTTTTGGAGTACTGGGATTTGGACTCAGGGCCTTGTGCCTGCTAGGCAGGTGCTGCACCACTTTTGAGTACACCCCTAGCCCTTGGGTCATGATCTTCTTACATCTCCCACATAAATGAGATTGCAGGCATGCTCACCACGCCCCGCTTCTTTGATGTGATTAGTGGTGGGGTCTCACTAACATTTTGCCTGGCTGGACTTAAATCTCTACCTTCCTGATTTTAACCTCCCAAGTAGTTGGAATTACAGATATAAGTCACTGCACCCAGCCCTTTTATTCTAAAATTCAAATAAAAAATTAAAAACAAAATCAAATTTTTGCCTTATAACACTTTTGATTTGTGCACATTTTTACAACATGGTTGAATGTGCTTAGTTCAAGGTTGGCTGAACTTTTTTTTTCCCATGGCAGTAATACCAGGCTTTTGAATAACGTCTTGCCTGCTCAGTATATATGTGGTTATACTGTCTGAGCTGGGTTGTGTTATAGGATGAGAAATGAGAGGCCTGTAGGGTGGGAGGAGACTCACATTCCCTGAATGTGAGCTCATCTGTTGGGTTTTTCCAGGGCAGAAATAAAATTTATCACTGTCCTTGGTGAGACCAGGACAGCCTTCACATTTTGGGCTCCAGTCCAGAATGTGTCTATTTGAATGTCCTGTTTCCACATTAAACTTAAAGTATCTGAAAAGAAATGGGTCATCTTTTACTCAAACATAGACTTCTGCTCTGTTTGTCTGCAGTAATGGCGCCCCCATCCTACTTACTGCTCACCCAGACTCAAGACTAGATGCAGTCCTTCTTAATCCTCCCTGGTCCAGAGAGTATTTGAGCTCCCAGTGCTGGTGTCACAGGGTCTGTTCTCTCTCTTTTCCTCTCTGCTGTCACTCCTGTCCCCTGGCGCAGTCTCACAACTGGACTGTTACAACCCCCTCTATCTGAGTTCTGGCTCCTCTGCCAGGCTGTTTTCCACATACCTGACTCAAGGATCTTAAAACAGAGCTTGTGTCTTGCCTCGGTCTTGGCTCCAAACTGCCTGTCATTTTCCTTGTCCTGCTGAGATGAGAGAATCCTCTGTCCTGGTGTCTCGGCTGTGTCATGCTCTGGCCTAATGTCACAGTCTTGCCTCTTGTTCCTTCACTGTCATTTCTCTATGTTCCAGCTCCTCTCAGCTGCTTACTTAACGTTTCCCTGTGTCTCTGTGACCTGTGGACCCCTCATCTCTCCTTACTGTCCCCTCCCCTCTGTTTGGCTGAGATCCTACAAAGGTCTCCCCTCTGTAGAACGCTCTCCCCAGCTTCATGCTTCCCAGTTTACACTTTGCATTTCTCTCACATCGTGGCTGTTTGCATACAAGCTTTATTTTCCTCATTAGATTGCAGAATCTCTGTGCATGAGTTGTGATCAGGTGGAAAAATATAAGCCATGTTCTTGGATAGAAAGACTTAACATCATAAAATGACCTACCCCCAAAATCAATAAATTTAGTGCAATCTATTAAAAGTTCCTGGAGTATTTTTTTAAAATGTAGAAGTATTTTTGTGGCGTTGTACTGGCAAACCATCTCTTCTTGAAAAAAAACAGAAACCCTACAAAACTAGAAACAAAAGAAAGTGCCTCATATACGGGACCAGGCTGGATAATCTGTAGTACATACGTATCACAGAATAGTATGCAGTCATTTGAAACAGTGCAGTCAGCTGCACTGCTCTTCTGAGTGCATTTCTTGGAATGCCTTCCAGAATGGATGCTGTAAGAAAGACACAAGATGCTTATAAGGTGCCCTCCCTCCAATTTGGTGGTACTGGGGTTTGATTGCTTCTTTTCTTTTTTTGGCAGTACTGGGGTTTGGATTCAGGGCTTTACAGGCACTCTACCACTTGAGCCATGCTTGCACCCCATAATCCCCCTTTTTAAATAAAATAGACAGTAACAAGGATCTCCTGTTTTGTGCATATGTGCATATGTCTGTATCATATGAGGTGATTTTCTGTGAAGCTAATGAAGGTAAGATTTTAGAGACCTCCCACCTGCACAGGTGTCTTTGAAAAAGTCCTATACCTAATTTTATGTTGATAATTTTATATTCTTAAAATCAACTTCCAAATTAGATAACTTGCATTGTCCACCCCCAAAAAACCCTTGGACCTCTGCCCTATGTATGCAGGCATGGAAAAAAAAAATAAATGGTCAAATGCTAAAAAATAAAGCCATGTCAGCTAAAAGAAAGATCTGGGGTTGGAGGATAGAGAAGGAAAGGAAGGGACAAGCACCACAGTACGGGGGAAAAAAACGACTTGATTTTTTACTCACTGTCTCGCTTTCTCCCCCTCCAACTCTGGTGGTGATGTTGAGGGGTAGTTGAGGCTGTTGAAATACCTTAAGGTGACAGTACAGTTTTATTCTTACAAACCAACTCTGTAAAGACTGTGGTCCTCCCTCCACCTGTATCAATAACAGCCCAGTAATGAGGGAGAGCAGGTGGTTTTGGTGAACATTTGGAAAGTTGTCTGTCAAACATCTTCCTTTTTCTGAATGGCATGTCTGTTCATCCCATCACAAGTGTGACTGGCAGGTTAGGCATTTAGTAAACATTTACTTAATGAGGAAATGAATAAGTAAAGGACTGTTTGGGCTGACATCTGGGGGCCCCGTCATTTCCTGCTCTTGAGAGTGAACGTGGTGAACTTCTGTTTGTGCACCAGCTGGATTCACACATTTCATTTCCTCCAACGAAGTTGGTATTCCAGTGAAGTGGTTGGAGTTTTCAAAGTTTATTGTCAATAGCAATTTGTGACAATATCAGCTCTGATGACTTGGGTCTATTTCGGATGAGGCTTTGCAGAGTCACTTCTTCATCAAACTGCATTTAAGGTATAACATAGCTTGAGACAAAGCCTAAACCAATGAGACTGCCTCTCTGTGAGATATTGAAGGGGGACTCTTGACACCTGCCACTTGCAAAGGCAGGTGGTGAGGTCAGCACAACTCCAATACTACCTGTACAGGGCCTGCCGGTATACCCTGCTCATTCTGAGGTTAGGTTCACTTTCCTCTGGCTGTGTGAGGGTCTGAAGTGGAGCCATCCAACAGAAATACCATCAGAGTCATATATATTTCAAATATTCTAGTGAGGACATTTAGGAGAGTAAAAAGAAACAGTGAAATCAGTTGTAATAATACATTTTACTTAATACAGCATACCCAAAATATCATTTCAGTGTGTAATCAATGCAAAAATTATTCATGAGGTATCTTACATTTAAAAAAATTAAGCCTTTGAAACTCAGTGTGTCCTTTACACTTTGACATACTTTAATTTGGCCTATCTGCAGTTTAAGTGCACCGTAGCCAAAGGTAGCTAGGGTACAGATTTTACCAGAATGACAGGCTTAGCACTGCACTGTCACAGTCCATCAGTGTGACATGAAGCCTAGAAGAAGGGTAATGGGTTGCATCTCCTTTAGATGTGACCTGATTGCTCATGCCAGAGTTCATATAAGGCCCTATCATAGAAGGCTTGGGGTAAGCTACCTCAGGACCTGTTGTTCCTTCTTTTGCCTCTGACGTGCAAATGGCCCCTTTCGTTAAGCATTGATTAACAGCAGTAGGGATTGGTTTCCATCTTGTAAAAGTGTCTTTCCAGGTCTTTGCCAACCTGCAGAAGAACAGTGCCACTTCTTATGCTTGTACTGCTCAAGTAGACATAGTTTTGGCTGCAGTGCTGGGAAGGTCCAGAAAGGATGGGAACTGCTAGACGGTGATCTAAAAGCTCCCTGTAGGAATCAGGGTCACCCCATTGTACCTTTCCAACAGGTTTCAAAAGGCATTCTCAAAGAACTTGAGAACTAAGAAAGGAGATACTCCTTTGAAATCTAGCCATTGACCAGTTCAGAATTTTTTTTTTTTTGACTTTTTGTCCTAGGGAAAAACAGTGAGGAGAAAGAACTTGAATATTCAGTCACATTCTGTATCTTCAGGTATGTGAGCACTGAACACTCCCCCGTAGTAAAATCAGTGGCTAATCCGGTGTGGGATAACATTCTGCTCAGAGGATCTTGGAGTAGCACCCAAATGCAGAATCTGCCTTTAGTCAACTTTTTCTGTATTGTTTGGGAGATACCTGCCTTTACCAAACAAGCCCAATCATTAACGATGTCACACTTAAACAATCATTGTCCCTCAGAGAGAATCGGAAGTTACGTCTTCACTATTTTTTCACTTGTCCCAACTGCTGCCCACTGTTTACCAGAAGGCTTGCCATTTTTGATGATGTCTCTATATTATCCACGAACAGGTGAGCTCGCAGGAAAGCTGTCTGGTAGGAATAGCTGGATGGAAGTGTATCCAGTATTGGTCCCCTGTTCTTAGCTGGGGGCTGGGGAGGAAATGCAGAGAAATGGTGTTCCGGTGGCCACATTTGGTGGCTTGAACTTATTTTCTCAGTCAGCTTCTGGCCCATACAGTTTCAAAGAGCTGCCTCTTGGTGGTTACATGGAGCTAAATGTTAAAAATGACTTTAAAACTGAAGTTTTTCTGGGTGTGGTGGCTCACGCCTGTAATCCTAGCTACTTGCGAGGCAGAGATCAGAAGGATCTCAGTTGGAGGCCAGCTTGGGTAAAAAGTCCTGAGCCCTATCTCAACCAATGGCTGGGTGCATACCTGTTCTCCCAGCTACTTGAGAAGCATAAGTGGGAGGCT